TATTTCCATACCCGAAGATGTCTGTAAGAACAGACGAAAGCTTGTAAAAACTAAAAAAGACCTTATGCAACTGTAATTTATAAACAGGGATCATATCATTCATATACAGGTTCGGGGTTGATGTATCTTATTTATATTGTTTGCGACGAAGTATTCTCGCCATTTAAATCATTAACCTCTATATTTGTTTTTTTTTTTTGTATGAATGATTCATGTAATTATATATATATATATATATATATATATATATATATATATATATATGAGCAGACATGAATGTACGTGAGAGATTCATGGATGATAGAAGTTTAAAAGCAGTAAATTCGACCTTGCTAACCGATCGATCCTCTGTTGCGAAATCGGTAAAAGCACGTCAGGCTATATGACGGTTCCGTATAGGATACATGTTCGAATCCCGTTAGAGGACGAATATTTTCTATGAAAATTTCTCGGGCATTCAGGCCGGTAAATGTTATTTAATACTGTTTATTATAAACAGAGCATTTACTTAAATATTTGTATCTATAAAAAGAATGTTAGATATATATATAATTATCGTTAATCATCATTATTATTCAGTTAATGTATTTATGTGTTGAAATTATTTTGAAATGTCAAACCGAATTTTGTTATAAGGTGTCACGGTTAAAATTCAGCCGGCATACTAATAAATATTAACTTTTGGTGCCCGACAAAAAGTTTTGTTGTTTTACAGATATGAGATCTGGTCTTTCATTATGAGAGAACTGTCAGAGAGAAATACAATTCAGTGCGGGCGCTAATATGAATTCTCAAGGGCGTGCAAATGTTCAGAGGAGTTAGGGGTCGATAAGATTTTAACAGGACGTTAATATGCCTTAACGCATTGAGCATTGATTGGGACAAGTCATAATATTTTATATACATATCTATTAATCATGGATGTGGTTTAATGGTAAGTAGCTTGGCACTTGAAATCAGTGGTTCAAGTTCGAATCCCGGATGAGTCCTTTGCATTTACTTTTGCCTAAATACCTTTGGGAAAGGTGTGAATCAATCTCTTCTTCCCCCAGCTATGGGTTAGAAAGGTAGACTGTGCATTCTAGCTTTGATTGGCAACCAGTGTAGGAGAAGGACAACTCTAAATTATGAAAAAATGCACGAAGCCCTGACACAAGACATCTATCGACAAGATCATGATGTCCACAATGAGACTATAATGTTGACTGATTTGGTTTTTTATTTACTGTTTATCAACCTTTTCTAGGATATTTAACACATAGATAGGGGGGAGAGAATAGGCTGATTACTGTCTTCCTCAAGGGTATTTGTGCGTAAGTAAATATAACGAATCAGGTTGGAATTGGATCATCACCCGCAATTCCAAGCTTACTGCAACTGGTTTTACTAAGCGGTCACCCATCTAGACTCGACGTTGTTTAACTTCGATGAACGGGCACATTTTTAGACCTGATTTCATAATTCTAAACATTTAGCAATTACAGCAGGATCAAAAGCCTGTAAGCAGATATCGGGAAGCTTCCTTGGTCTGAACCGGTGACGTCGGCTTGGTTGTTCTCGCCACAGCTTTCTTCAAAGGATCGATGCGATGATAATACCACTGCCGCATTAGGTGGGCTGCATTTACCAGTGCAATTTTAACATAGGTGGGTACCAGTTAGTGCTAATACCTGAAAAGAGGAATAAAGTTTATTTCGAAGAAAAGGTTAAAAAACCACTGACGAGTGCTTTATCATTATTGTCATTATTATTTTTTTCTTATTTAATATTTAGTAATTTATTCTAACAAACATTAAAATAGGAGTAGATAAGTTCACCTGTCACCCGGTTCACACTCTTCCCCGGTCTTTTGAACAGGAGTAGAGGTTTGTCCCTTGTTTCTTGTTTAGGACTGGGTTTCCGGTTCCTTCTAAAGTCTACTTCAGCTCCGTACTCTTAATGTCTGCGACTGGCATACTGAAATGTTATCCACTAATTATTTATTAAATTTTTTTTATCTCCTCCGGTAATAGGATCAGATAGGTGCACCTATCGTCTGGTTCACCCTCCTACTGGGCCTTTTTAAACGGAAGTAGGCTTTTATCTCTTGTTTCCTGTTTAGAAAGGGGGGTTCCGGTTCCTTTTAAAGTCTGCTTCAATTCTATAGTTCTAACAATTTTCCTTTCTCATGCTAATACAACTCCACGCAGTAACTCTCCATCTTGAGTGGCTCTTGGGCCTTGTTTTGGGCGAACAGTAGTAAAAAAAAAAAAAAAAAAAAATAAATAAAAATAAAAATAAGAAGCCAGAAGTTGTAGTTATGTTCTTTTTGGAATCTACACTAAAAACCTTCACAGTATTTATCTTTTCGCCTAAAGGAACGGAGAGAAGTGGAAAAATGTACACACAATGAAACTCCTAAACTATCGAACAGAATATCTTGCTGTTGTTCTTTTATGGAATATTCAGGTCATGGGCGGTCATGGTTCTTTGTTGCTAGTAGAAATGTTTGACTTTTTGGTATCTCTTCTGATCCCCGATCTGCTAAATATCTATACAGCTAGTTAAGTAGGCCATTCTTTCCTCAACCCTCTGTCTTCTGATTCTAAGGGTAAATGTCCTTTGTTTCCATTTCCCCCCCAAACTTCGTGGTTACACACATGTTCAGTTCATGTTATTCTCCGTAATCTTCTGTAGAACAACATATCTGCTGCATCAAACCTCGTCTTAATCTAAAATAAAATTGTCCAGCATTTAAAGTCATACAGGAGGACAGATATTACATAACAGTCCAGTGCTTCTTTCTTTGTTTCTACCGAAATTTTATTGTTTATTAATACTTAACTTTTGGGAGGCATATTTCTCTGATCCTTTCCTTCGGATTTTAGTGATACATTTTCCGTCCTCTGCGAAAACACTTCTTAGATATGTTTTTTAAAAAAGGTGTCTTAAATTTGTAGTTTGCATCTTAAGCAGTTCTTTTTGTTGATAAACATATGTTATGTCTTCTTACAATTGATAGTTATTGCTTTTTTCTCGCTTTCCTTTACGACATTACGTAGGAGTTCTTATAGTTTACTTTCTGTGTTTGATATCAATGTCATCTATCTATCTATCTATCTATCTATCTATCTATCTATCTATCTATCTATCTATCTATCTATCTAATCTATATTTGTTCATATCTATCTATCTATCTATCTATCTAATCTATATTTGTTCATATCTATCTATCTATCTATCTATCTATCTATCTATCTATCTATCTATCTATCTATCTATCTATCTATCGAATTTTGTTCATTATCTATCTATCTATCGCTATTTGTTCATATCTATCTATCTATCTATCTATCTATCTATCTATCTATCTATCTATCTATCTATCTAATTTTGTTCATTATCTATCTATCTATCTATCTATCTATCTATCTATCTATCTATCTATCTATCTATATATCTATCTATCTATCTATCTATCTATTACAATCGGCTACGAGGACACGGTCAAACGTTGTTTACAACTCCCCGCAGTAGCTGACAGCATCATAGTGTTTTTAGTGATGATGTCTAGTGATAGTAAGTGTAGTTTTTTGGTTTCCACTTTTTTTTTTGCTTTTTTATTGCATGAAACAATAAAAAAACAACTTGTTTAGAGGCATTAATGATTGTTTTATTTCCTGATTAAAGCTTTTGTTCTACGTTTGATATCACCGATAGCGGTAGTGTGTTTTAGTGACACGACAATGTTCTTTAGCCTTGACAATTCTGAATTTAAAACCAGAGAAGGACTGTTTGGAGACCTTGTTACACGCTATGTAGATGTGTTCTCTCTCTATTCAGTTCTTTCGTAAAGATTGATTCAACACATAATCAAATAAAATATATATATATATATATATATATATATATATATATATATATATATATATATATATATATATATATATATAACAGAATACAATCGTAGTTGGTAAATTACAACTCTAATAATCTTCAATTAAAACTGCTCAATACAAATAAGAGGCTATTTTTCTTTTCTTCATTTATGTTACGTTTTATAGCCTCTTATTCGTATTGAGTACTTATCTAACTGGAATTCTCAACCACGATTACGTTTCAATATATATATATATATATATATATATATATATATATAAAAAGAAACGCAATTGTGTCTCTTTTATATCCGGGTCTCTTGTATCCGGGTTACACTGTATATATATATATATATATATATATATATATATATATATATATATATATATATATATATATATATTTTGTATCTAAGAACGCTGACTTCAAACGAGGTTTTATGTTCCTCGTGATTCTGCTAAGCACACTAGCAAAGAGCTGGATAAAATATATTATTTGTTAACAGAAGCAAAATGGAAGACAAGAATTCAAAATAAATACTCCAGATGAAAATGTTTCTAAATTTGATTCATTCAAATAATTTCTATTTGTCATATACATTCTTTATGAGGCGTCACATTTACCGTCTGATCGCTGCTCGCTTAAAATTAACGCTTTTAGATTAAGTGCTCTCACTAACCGATTTTTCGGTTTATAACCAGTTGAACGCGTTGCATGTAGAGAGACCTTTAATCACCGGAAATATTTATTTTGGTATTAAATACTTCTTCAGTAGGGGAATATTCTAGATTCAATTGTCATTGGTGAATAGATAGCGCTTTCTCAATGAGAATGTCCTTTCATTTTAGACGACTAGCTTTTACTACTACTTAATGTATGCATCTTTACACCAGATCTCTCGTGATGACTAAGAGTAAGTACTTTCAAATTTACAGCACCCTCCTCAGTATCATCGCAGTTCTCAGCAACGCCTTGATCCGTACTGTCAATCGCATTTAGAATATCCAACTCATCCAGTTTCGATTCCAATGTTTCAAGAAATGTTAAAGGTAACCATTATGAGCAGATTTCTAACCTTCATACTTTACGTATTTCGGCTGAGCACGAATACAATAGGCTCTTTCCCTAACTATGAGACTTAAGGCCACATCACGTTGAAACACTGGTTCCCGTACGATCACCGAAATTAAGCAACTTCGATCCTGGTCAGTACCAAAATGGGTGACCGCTTGGGAATACCAGATACTGTAAGTTTGGATGTGCAGGTGGTGTAATGGATAATGGCTCGGAATTGTCAATCGGAGAGCCAAGTTCAAGTTGCCGTTGAGTTCGTTCTCTTCACTTACACGCAAATAACCTTGGTAAAAGGTATGAATTCTTCTCTACCAGCTATGGGTTAATTAGTAAGTCTTGTAGTATTAAACCATTATTATCTAATAAATAAATAAATCGAAAGATATTTTCTGGCTTTAAGTAACCAGTAAAGGGTCGATAAGCCGTAACAAATGAATCAACCGACGAATGTGCCTTAATGACGAAGGTGTACATAGTTGTCCACAACTTCCATGGTATTCTTTATTAAGTAGCGGCTTGAAGTGACCATAGATATACTAATAAAGTTGCTACTTAAGCAGATTTATTTTTAACGTAAAACTCAAATTGGTCAAATGGAAGTCTTGAGGATCTGAATCGTTATATTCAGCCTTAGCCACTCTGCTAGAGATGATGCAGACAAAACAAAACAAAAAAAAACAAAACAAAACAAAAAACAACTCCCCCCCCCACAAAAAAAAAATCCCCGAGAGACTTGTAAGGCAAATAAGCGACTGATGAGTAGATAGGATTGCTCTGGATTAATTATAAAAGGACGAGACTGATTCACACGAGAAAACAGATAAAAGAATATTGGTGGTAGATGCATACACAAAACAAAATTATAAAAAGCATTAAACAAAGAATCAGAAAAGAAAAATGTAGACAAAACCCATGATGCAAACATCAAAATAAGAAGTTACTGGAGGCAAAAAAAAAAAAAAAAATAGACGAAATAATGTATATGGCTTCGCTTGAAGAAACTTGTTGAAAAAATAATAAATAAGTAAATAAAATAGATACAAATAGCAACAACAACAACAAAAGGATCATTGGTACTTTTTTCCCCAGCATTTGGCCATATCGGTCGACGTATGTAGGTTATTTGACATTTTGTTTATTTTTTGTCTTAAACCTCAACATTTTTGTCTAGAAAATCTTTGATGCAGTCCGTTGAGAAAGGTCATTACTCGAGGAAATCAAGAGCAAACCAAAAATTAATAAAACAAACCAAAACGAATCAAGAACAACAACAACAACAAAAAAAAAAACCGAAAAAACAAACAAACGATTTTTTCCACCTCGTCTGCTTGTAATGAATACATTTAAGCTGATGAGAAAGCGGGAAAAAGACAGTCACGATTTTGATTGTTTTCTTGTTTTTTTAAATGGTTAGGATAAAAAATATAATGTCATGCTAAACAGTTCTGTTAATTCCGATTCCATTTATTTATTTTTTAAATTTAATTGGAGTTTAAAATAATTTTCCATGCCGTTTTGGTTTCGCTTCAGTGATCAGATGAATATTTCCCAAAACATGTTCAGTACTCAATTCTTAAAAGACATTAAATACCTCCATTGATACGGTCTTGTACGTGTTGCACATTAAATCTGTAGTTTCCTGTTTGGAATAAAGGGAGAGAGCCTCACTACCACGCCAGTGGTTTCCATTGCAAACACGTTACCACTACGCTTAAATTAGTGAAATCGCGGTACCAAAAAGAAGAGCTCGTCTGAAAATGAAAATGTTTATAGAAAAAGCACAGGAAAGCAAGATTACGACGGTGGGAAAGTGACTGAAGCCGAGATGCCAGACCTGGACCACTAACATTGCATATTCTTGTTTTGATTTTCTCAAGAATCACCAGAGAGGTATCAGAAGCAACAGACTAGATGTGGCAGCAATATTCAATGCGCGGACGAATGGTAGATTTATAAATATGCAAGAGAGTTTGGGGGGGGGGGTAGAAAGATTGTCTAGCACGGTGCATTGAATGCACGCTTCTAGCAGTAGACTTAGCTATTGATTCGATAGAATCACTCCAATTCATATCAGTGTACAGCGTTAGAACACTGGAGGTTAGCATGATAGGAGCCCCCCCCCACGAAAAGGTTCTTTAAGACGATTAAAATAAAGCAGTTTAGTTTGGGAGGGGTTAAAAGTAAGAAGACTTTTCTTGCCCCAGTAAACAACAGATTGAAAGTCAATTTCAAGAACACCTATCAATTTGACTACCTATCCGATTTAACATTAAGACAAGAGTAATAATTATGTCATTGGCAAGGTCATTGATAACAATAGGGAAAAAAGTAGGTTTGAGGATAGGCTCCTTTATTGTAAAACGTAAAATGATACACTTTAACTTAGGTATCAGTTATCCGCGATCATCCCTAGAAATAAAAAGAATTTATGAGTTTTAATTTTTTTATAGTCACTAAGAAATAAGTCGTGATCCTGGCAGTTCGGATGTATAAAAGAGAATCCGACAAGCATTTCAAGTGAAAAGGTGAATGTTCTCGACTTTATAAGAAAAAGTCTGAAGCTGCACAATCTTCACTTTCCAACCTTCATAGAATCAAAATGCATTTACGCGGACTTGCGATCCATGAAAGATTTTCCACCCTATCGTCTATTTCTCGCAGACGCAACATCACAAATCTATCGATAAGCTATCATTGTTTCCATGGCAAATGTTCAATTGAGACCCATTCTTTAGTACCGTCAGCTCCGACCATAACTGCCCGAACTCGTCTGGCTATATCCACAGGGTTACTTCACCCTCATTCCCTCTGTATTCTATTTGAAAGAAGGAAGTTCCACATGGATAACATTTTCCCAATATGTGCCACTTTGTGGAACAGACTCCCACGTGGATGCTTCCCCGAGTATTATTTTTTTTTCGTTAATCATGTAAGGCCAAGCCAGGCGGGAACGCCACTTGTACGCAGGGAGGGTCACGGGGAGTTAATGTGTGAGAAAAGACCGAATATAAGAAGGATTGAGGAAAGGACAAAATGATGAACGGAATTCAAGAAGACAGAAGATGGCGACTGACGCTGCATTTAGATTTTTGAAGATTCTTGTTATCAGGTTTCGAGCGGCTTTTTATTTTCGAAGCATGTGTGTTCTGGCGTAGTATGATGCGTTCGATTTCGCATTGATACCCTTGGAAGGGAGCGTCAATCCTTTTCTTTCACCATGGCTTAAGTAGTAGCTTCGACTGGTCTCCCTAACCTTGAATAGCAGCCGGTCTTAGAAAAAGCCTACTTTAAATTCCAAGCCGTGCATAAAAGATCATGGCAATCCACAAATTGTAATGAAAAAGAATCTGTGGAGAGTCATGATCACCTACGTACCGAATAGACTTATCATTTAAAAAGAAAGAAATATTTAATACATGTAACGAAAACGACTATAACATCTTTTTTTTCAATTATTTCACCCCAAGGAAGGCGGGAATGCTATCAGTACCCAGGGGATTACAGGGTGTGAAAGTGAGTGAAAAGACTGAGTTTAGGGAGGATTGAGAAAAGAATAAAAGATAAACGGGGTTCAAGACAACAGAAGATGGCGATTTACTTTGTATTTAAATTTATGAAGATTGTAGTTATCAGGGAAGCAATTAAACGGACGGGAGTACCACAAGCGAGAAGTGCGAGAAAAGTAAAAGTGACTGTTGCATTTAGCTATTTCAACAGTAAACGGCTGGGACTTAGGTTACAATCGTGTGGTACGCTTAAATTCATGCAGTTGCGGGGAAAAAGCCCGTCAGAGAAGTTGGCATGAAAATATTTGAAGAAAAGAGAGAGGGAAGCCACGTCACGATGGGGAGAAAGTGATGCTTACCTTTTCAAATTTAGAGTCAATCGTTATTTATTTTTCTCCTCCTCAAAATATTCACATCTTATTTTCCCTTTTTGCATTCATATCACACACTTCATTCAGTAACCCTCTACCTTGAGTGGCTCTTTGGCCTTGTATCGAGTGAACGTTAGTAAAATGGAAATAAATCCTAAGCCGAGGTTGCTAAGATCTACGATTATAACGCATTTTTTATCCGTCATATGACTATTATTAAAATATTATTAAGATATTATTAAAATATGTAATAGTTTTATTTTTTATGAGTTGTTGATATATTACTGTGGCTCATTTTTAAATTAAAACTCACCATCGATATATGCGCAATTGAACGTAAGTATATTTACGGTTCGGTATTTCCCGCTGTTTTGGGCATCCGATGAGAGAGTCTTGGAATGTATCGCTGAAGATAAGGTAGGTTGTGGATGGGTGTGAGGGCTGGGGGTGAGAGTCTAATGTGTTTACCGTTTTCTTCTCCAATCATCTACTATATTTTAGGCATTTTTATAATTAAGATTAAATTGTCTTTAGCAAGGAACATTTCGTGTTGCCTTTCGCAGTCTTCCAGAAAATAGAAATTGTTTTTTCCATTAAAAGAATTCGCTCAGAAGTCTGTGATGAATGATAATCTGAATGGGTCATATCTGCTAAATTCGGCGGATATGCGAAAACTTGCCAGCCAAGATGTACCTTTTTTTTTTTTTTATTTTGCTCGGTCAGCAAAACAACATATGGTTTAATGTTATCTCGAGTAAATATGACATCCTTTCTTTTAATCAAATTACCAATTTGAAAACTAAGGCTGGCAAAGACTGACATTCATTTGTAATTAGATTATGATTAGATGATTAAAACAGAAGCCAAAAAGAATTTAGGACCCGGGGGTGGAGGTGGTGGGTAGTGGTGGTATCATAATCGGATTAATGTCCCCCCACCATCTTCGTTCTTACTGCAATCGGCCAACTTAAGATATTGGTCGATTTGCGTAACCATCATTGGATTTTGAATTGGATTATTTATTCTATCTGTACTCATTCCGCTGTTCCCATCTAAGACATTGCATAAATTGAATAAAGGGTTCAATTCGAAATTCGTTCATGGTTATTCGGGTCGAGAAACATCTGAAGAAGGTCAAAACGGCCGAAAGCTTTTGACCGTAATAACAAAGGTGGAGTTCAACTCTAAATAATGTAGAAAAAGACAAACCGTCGAAACGTCCCTAGACATGGACAATGGAATGAAAACGTTCTACTCCTGTAGATTGAATAAACGGTCTATTTTGAAAATTCTCTGAAGT